GACACCTGACCCCTGGCCACGATGTTGACTGGATGTAAACAAACCCCTGAAAAAGAAAATGGCTTGCACATCCACAATGAAGCCACAGTCAACTGGTTATAGAAGTTAATCAACTTCATATGACATAATGTTTTCAGTTTTCAAGTCATTCAACCCTGATTTCAATGATGTTCGTACAGCAACTGCAATCGCATGTGACCTGGCACCTTCTGTATCGTCCAACAATGACATTGACAAAACCATTATCAGCAAATATACTCATTCCCAGGCTCAAACTGTCACTGCATTTAGGATCCACAGCGCACCGCAACACCGGTTCCCAAACATCCTCCAGTCATGTACCTCTTTAACCTCCACCATCAAATCCACCTCCTCAATCGCGACAACAAGTGGCCGCTCCCACCCCAAATCATGCCGCCACACAACAACACCAAGACGGCCTCCTCTTCCTCCAACCTGCATCCCACAATCCCTACCCCTACCCCTTTCACCTCAACCCACCCACCAACTCGAAAATCCCCTCGAGCCATCTCCCCCACCTCCGACGACAACCTCTCCGCCCTTCCCCCAAACCTAGCCTCCCTCACCCTCTCCTCCTCTGCCCAAAACCGCACAATTATCCTCGGGCCAATCAACTTCCCCCCCACCGCCATCAGCGTCATCACCAACCTAGCCAACACCTCCTTCCCTTCTATCATCGACGGCAAATCCTCCTATATCAAAATCGAGTCCAAAACCATTGCCTGGGTCGTGATCAAAATTGGCATGCGCGCCACGCTAGACTCCAAGAAGAAATTCGCAGAATTCACCCGCCAATGGGTGGGTTTTTTATGTGGGGGTTTCAAAGAGCTGTGGTACCACGGTTGGGGGTTTGTAACCGTTGTTCAAAACCCGCTTGAGCCGCCGACGGTGGGGAGGAAGATTTTGGCCCAGAAACAAAACGTGGATTAAGAAACATTGAATAGAATGATATGTGTAGACTAAATGCTAACTTTATTCTCAACAGCTGAGTACTGTTTGATTCACTGCCTTTTACATTTTTCGGATACCTTCAAGACCACTAATCACCCGGCCAAGAAAGCTTTTTGGATTTCAGATGTTTCCGACGACACCATAAGCGAATCTTGAAGACTACCTACACATTAAAGTCCATCATGCTCCTGTCACTCACCATAAGATCGCCTGGATCCATGAACCCTTGTCTCTCCCTCGCAGCCTGATACGCCGGCCAGATGGCGTCCTTAACCGTCATAAAACCCGGGAGCTGGCCATCCAAATTCATAGTCGAGCTCCTCACAGTGCCGTACTTGTAGAATAGGGCTAATCTCCTCGCGATATCCTATTGTTTGTCAGTGAACAACTCTCATCCCCTCTCTTATTCAATTCGGGCAATGTCAACTTACATGAACCAACGAGCTCCTCCAGCAACCGATCGCTGCTGCTTCCCCTTCCCATTCTTACCTTCCCCCTATTTTCAGCCATCAGTATCTCCCTAATGTCGTCCGCTTTGGGTGGATTCAAGTTGACCTGGCTCGGAGCACAATCGTTGTAGTCATCTCGGCGCAATCGCTCTGGTCAGAGTCCGTTTGCATCTCTACTGTGCCCTTGTTCGAGAGGGGATCAAGGCTGAAACCGTGCTCGTCCCGATCCTTCTCTGCGAGGTCCAAGAGGGAGCGTGGGACAGAGAGGGCATAGTCCAGAGAGATGAAGCCCTCTTCGAGATCAAAGGGGGGGGGGGGGGG